GATGATTTTTGAAACAGATAAAAAATTCCACCTACAGTGGGACAAATGATTGTGCTTGTGTTTCTTGTCTGATTCAGTGTTTCAACAGACCAGTCAGTGAAGTGATTCAGTGTTACAACAGACCAGTCAGTGAAGTGATTCAGTGTTACAACAGACCAGTCAGTGAAGTGATTCAGTGTTACAACAGACCAGTCAGTTAAGTGATTCAGTGTTACAACAGACCAGTCAGTGAAGTGATTCAGTGTTACAACAGACCAGTCAGTGAAGTGATTCAGTGTTACAACAGACCAGTCAGTGAAGTGATTCAGTGTTTCAACAGACCAGTCAGTGAAGTGATTCAGTGTTACAACAGACCAGTCAGTGAAGTGATTCAGTGTTACAACAGACCAGTCAGTGAAGTGATTCAGTGTTTCAACAGACCAGTCAGTGAAGTGATTCAGTGTTTCAACAGACCAGTCAGTGAAGTGATTCAGTGTTTCAACAGACCAGTCAGTGAAGAAAAAACGACTGTGGCAAGTTTCTATGTGGCATGGGATCATGCACAACACGCACTTACACAAATGTCGCATGACAGCCCAACACCCCTCTGATCTTAGACTTATCCTCATTTTGCAACCTCCTATGTAAATGACCCATTTTCAAAATTTGGACATTCCTCCATGGGTATATAGTCCCTCTTTACTTAGTTAGTGATATTGGATAGAGGACATATTTCTATCATAATTCTCTTTGGAATGAAATTTTTTTTTTAAAATTAAACCATATATGTTTGAGTTTCTTATTAAAGTTAGTTGCGTATCCTTTACAGGACTTTGCAGAACCAACCCTAACAGCCCCTGGCTGTTGTGTGGTTTTCTAGGCAAGTTACTTTCAGTAGTTTGCCATTGCTTTATGGACGGTCGGCTTTCTTGATACCACTGTCGAAACCAACTTAAGGCGCATTGCCCGCAGCTGGGATCGAACCTGGCATCCCGGCATTACGAAGCGAAGCGTTCGCATCGACTTAGCCACAGAGCCGACGAGTTTCTTATAACGAAGACAAATTCTTTGGCTTAAATACCGCTTTGGACGTGAATGAATCCCTTCTGGTCTCTATCCAGAGAGAGACGATTAGATTTGGGACTCATTCTTGACTGAGCTTGCAGACTAAGCGGATGGCTTGCTTCCTTATCTGTCTTTCTGCTTAACTCCTTTTGAAAGTCACCGATTCACCCTTGTAACTTCCATGAGCATGGGTAAGTACTTTGTAGATTAATATAACTTGAGCATTTTGCCTTGCTGCTAAGTGTAAGACAGAGGTGGTTATGTGAAGTAACGGAACCTGGCCATCAAAACATTTGAACTGCAGTACAGCGCTAAACCATAGCGCTCACCTACATGCTGATGAAATTTATCTCCTCATACTTCCTCAGTGGATTCTTCCAGACAGCTTACGTATCGATTTTATCATATTTTTTTGCTCATATTGTGTGTGTGTGTGTGTGTGTGTGTGTGTGTGTGCTGTAGGAATATGGATGGGTGGTGAACACGGTATGGTGTGTGATTGCTAACTCTGGTTTTCCTCTTTGTCACAGGATGTTACTAATATCTGGAGGCCAGGTCGACTATCAGTATTCTAACACACATCAAGGGTAACCAGCATACAGCCTACAGTACGAGTAATCCTCGGTGAAGACATCACATCATGTCCATGCCCCAATGCCTGCATCTACAAGAGACTGTACAACTGTCTACTGTTTCTTGATGATCACCATCCGGTTGTGTCCTCAACCCATGAGCTTTTTATGTGGTCAGGCTGCCAACAACTGCCAGGACCAGAGGGTGGCATAGAGTCTAACGGAGAACATTTAAAAAAAAAACAGAGAACCTTCTACCTTGATCATATTTTTAAATGCTATAAACAATATAGTAGAAACTGTGAAGATTCAAGGTTTCTTTCGACTCCAGTGACTTAAGAACAATATTACCTGATGTTGAATTCACAAGGCTTCAAACATTCTCAAAGTCAACTGTTGGAAGATGCTGCACGTCGGATGACGAGGACCCCCTGGACAGATTTTGTGATGGCTGAAGACTGTGGTTACTCATAACACCAAGTGCCAGTTACCTAGGTCCATAATTCAGCAGTTTGGCAATGCTGAGAATGACTGAAGCTAGTGGCTATCAGGAGTCAATCTGGAGTAGGGACTTCTTCGATTCCCTAGAGAGTTTTGTCTTGCTTAAACCATTTCTTTGCATACTTACTTGTGTTGCACTGATTATATAATGTTTTGTTATTTTACATTCTGTGCTTTGTGTCCGTTCTTCACAGTTTTTCAATTATCTGGAATGCATGTTTTCTTATTTTAGTTCATTCTGTACTGTGTTCATTTGACTTGCATAGGATTACTATCTAGTCTGGGGGCTTAAAAGTAGTGATGAAGTCAGACCAAGTGCGCCTTGGAACATTCATTAATTTGTTAGTGCCATAATTTGAGTCGCCTCACCCCTGAAGTAGTTTGGATGTTTTTTGGAGCTGCAGGATATCGCCTGGACAATTGTGAGGCAACATATCAACACTTTAACTACTTCAGAGTGTCTTTTTGGTTCATCAGAGGAAATCCTAATAAAGACACATGACTCCGGCGTCATGTGACCACAAAGAACACACACACACACACACATATATATATATATATATATATATATATATATATATATATATATATATATATATATATATATATATATAAAAATATATATATATGCCTCACCTCTCTTCTCAAGGGAATATCGAGGTGTTTGTGTATGTATGGGTTAATGTGTATGATTTGGTGCCTGTGTTGTATAAGGTCCTTGTGTATGTATGGGTGTTTCTCTATGCATAGATATGTATGAGTGAGTGTACAAATGTCATTACTAGAAGCAAAGCTTAAGGGGCATTTTGTATTAGAGGAAAGAGAGACACACAATGATGGGTAATATTAAAATCTACTCCTTGAACCTATCTCTAATCCAAACCTACAAGAGCTCTAACAAACATTGTCATAGCGAGTGTAAGCCAACCCACACTCAATCTGCTTCAGTAACAAGTTGAAAAAAAAAAGTTTGTTAGGCGGAGGCTTAGACCAATAGTGTCTTTACCCACACAGAACTTGTTCTGTATGGAGTCTAATCAGTAGAATCAGTAAAACTAGGCAAACTAACAAGTCCTAATCTGAATCAAAACAGCTGGAACTATACTTATCATATTCAACATCTGTTTATTTTAGTGAACACAAAACTAACAATGCTTCACAAATAACAATACATTAATAACCAACATCGTGTCCAAATACACCCCATGCTAAGCACTTTAACTTACAAAAGCAAAAATTCAGACCTAAATATGATGAAAATTTATATCTAACCATAGATGTACGGCCGCCATAAAGTCAGTGCATTTCTAGGATGACACATCTGCGCTTTGTTGAGACCACATGCAGTCAAGCAATGGCAGACAGGGCTTTTGACTATAGCGAGCCAACCACACAGCGAAAACCAAATAGATCCTCTTCCGGGTCCGAGGTCTTTTTATAGACATCGTGACTCTCTGAGTTGCCAGATTTTTAGTTGGCATCTATCAAAAATCAAAATTATCAACAGGCCCGCTGGCACCCTGGCACATAAGTACAGCAAAAGCTAATCAAAAAAACTCCAAGGGACTCAAAAATCAAAGTTCTTTAAAAAAAAAAACTGTGCTTACTGAGGACAAATAGATGTATTTTCAATAATAGATCTCTGCTGGATCAAACATACATTTTGTTTATGTTAACCTTTAACCTAGAGTTAATCATCAAAAGTTCATGGTAATGAGATATTACTGTAACTGTTTAATTGTTTTCTAGGATTCAGTCTAGTTCTAGTTTTGCTCGTCCCATAATGTGGCCAAAACTATCAACCTGTCTCTTTCTGGTGTTTGTGATGATCTGTCTTCATATCAAAGCCTCTTTCTAGTGTTTGTGATAATTTTTCTTCATATCCCAGCCTCTTTCTGGTGTTTGTGATGATCTGTCTTCATATCAAAGCCTCTTTCTAGTGTTTGTGATAATTGGTCTTCATATCCCAGCCTCTTTCTGGTTGTTTGTGATAATTTGTCTTCATATTCCAGCCTCTTTCTGGTGTTTGTGATAATTTGTCTTCATATCCCAACCTCTTTCTAGTGTTTGTGATTATCTATCTTCATATCCCAGCCTCTTTCTGGTGTTTGTGTTAATCTGTTTTCACATCCCAGCCTCTTTCTGATGTTTGTGATAATTTGTCTTCATATCCCAGCCTCTTTCTGGTGTTTGTGATAATTTGTCTTCCTATCCCAGCCTTTTTCTAAAGACAGACTGTTCACTCTGTCTGTCACAGTAATGGAGAGTGAACATTCTATAAAACATTCTGAGATTTGCCTCTGATTTTCATCGAAATAGTAGCTCTTTGAGTCACTGGGTGGTTTCCTTTGTGTCGCTGGGTGGTTTCCTTTGTGTCGCTGGGTGGTTTCCTGTGAGACTGTGATCCTGGAAGAGGATAACAATAACAACTGATGTGCATAGATATTTGAACTCAGAACCTTTCCCACAGTAACAGCACTGACTTTAATTGTCAATTTAGGCATTTCCTCTGTACGCAGTGAGAGAATGATCTGTCAGCCCTATGTGACACATTGTACACAGTGAGAGAATGATCTGTCAGCCCTATGTGACACATTGTACACAGTGAGAGAATGATCTGTCAGCCCTATATGACACATTGTACGCAATGAGAGAATGATCTGTCAGCCCTATGTGACACATTGTACACAGTGAGAGAATGATCTGTCAGCCTTCTGTGACAAAATGTACGCAGTGACAGAATGATCTGTCAGCCCTATGTGACACATAATGGCAAAACAAGAAGATGATGATGTTTCTTTGATATTATGAATACTTCAGAGGACCTACAAGACAATATAAATATGTAAGTCTACAGAAACCCCCAGATTTGAACTGCCATGTTTAAAGATGGCTGCTACTTTCATCTATTGTGTTCAAGCTAATGGATCCAAGCTGGAGCGGAGTGTCCCCGTGAAGTGGTCTGTTGTCTCCAACGCTGGTGCTGTCAGTATCGCTGGAGTCATTATCAAAAGGCAGGAATAGTCTGTATGAATATATGTTCTGAAAATTACAAAAAATAGCAAATATAGATTCGTGTACAATAGTATGGGACAGAAATCAAATACTCAATACACCTGAAGACAATATGTTTGTCTGTCAGTGGTACTAGTACACAGCTACTCTCTTTTCTTTTTCTTTCTGTGTCCTTATCTCTCTCTTTCTCTCTCCTAACTTTCTTTCTATTTCTTTCCTTCTATGCATCTACAGATAGCCATACATTCATCTATCCATCCACCCTGTCTGAGAGCAACAGAGAACAACAAGCAAGACAGTTTACCCCAGAGGTGGCTCGTGGTATAAACCCTAACCCTAGAGATGGCTCATGGTATAAACCCTAACCCCAGAGGTGGCTCAATGTATAACCCTAACCCTAGAGATGGCTCATAGTATAAACCCTAACCCTAGAGGTGGCTCATGGTATAAACCCTAACCCCAGAGATGGCTCATGGTTTAAACCCTAACCTCAGAGGTGGCTCGTGGTATAAAACCTAACCCCAGAGATGGCTCGTGGTATAAACCCTAACCCCAGAGATGGCTCATGGTATAAACCCTAACCCTAGAGATGGCTCATGGTATAAACCCTAACCCTAGAGGTGGCCCATGGTATAAACCCTAACCCCAGAGATGGCTCATGGTATAAACCCTAACTCCAGAGGTGGCTCGTGGTATAAACCCTAACCCCAGAGATGGCTCGTGGTATAAACCCTAACCCCAGAGGTGGCTCGTGGTATAAACCCTAACTCCAGAGGTGGCTCATGGTATAAACCCTAACCCTAACCCCAGAGGTGGCTCATGTTATAAACCCTAACCCTAACTCCAGAGGTGGCTCATGGTATAAACCCTAACCCTAACCCCAGAGGTGGCTTGTGGTATAAACCCTAACCTCAGAGGTGGCTTGTGGTATAAACCTTAACCCCAGAGGTGGCTTGTGGTATAAACCCTAACTCCAGAGATGGCTCATGGTATAAACCCTAACCCCAGAGGTGGCTTGTGGTATAAACCCTAACCCCAGAGGTGGCTTGTGGTATAAACCCTAACCTCAGAGATGGCTCATGGTATAAACCCTAACTCCAGACGTGGCTTGTGGTATAAACCTTAACCCCAGAGGTGGCTTGTGGTATAAACCCTAACCCCAGAGGTGGCTCATGGTATAAACCCTAACCCTAACCCCAGAGGTGGCTTGTGGTATAAACCCTAACCTCAGAGGTGGCTTGTGGTATAAACCTTAACCCCAGAGGTGGCTTGTGGTATAAACCCTAACCCCAGAGATGGCTCATGGTATAAACCCTAACCCCAGAGGTGGCTTGTGGTATAAACCCTAACCCCAGAGGTGGCTTGTGGTATAAACCCTAACCCCAGAGGTGGCTTGTGGTATAAACCCTAACATCAGAGGTGGCTTGTGGTATAAACCCTAACCCCAGAGGTGGCTCATGGTATAAACCCTAACCCCAGAGGTGGCTCATGGTATAAACCCTAACCCCAGAGGTGGCTCATGGTATAAACCCTAACCCCAGAGGTGGCTCAATGTATAAACCCTAACCCCAGAGGTGGCTCATGGTATAAACCCTAACCCCAGAGGTGGCTTGTGGTATAAACCCTAACTCCAGAGGTGGCTCATGGTATAAACCCTAACCCTAACCCCAGAGGTGGCTCATGGTATAAAACCTAACTCCAGAGGTGGCTTGTGGTATAAACCCTAACTCCAGAGGTGGCTCATGGTATAAACCCTAACCCCAGAGGTGGCTCGTGGTATAAACCCTAACCCCAGAGGTGGCTCATGGTATAAACCCTAACTCCAGAGGTGGCTCATGGTATAAACCCTAACCCTAACCCCAGAGGTGGCTTGTGGTATAAACCTTAACCCCAGAGGTGGCTTGTGGTATAAACCCTAACCCCAGAGGTGGCTCGTGGTATAAACCCTAACCCCAGAGGTGGCTCGTGGTATAAACCATAACCCCAGAGGTGGCTCGTGGTATAAACCCTAACCCCAGAGGTGGCTTGTGGTATAAACCCTAAGTCCAGAGGTGGCTCATGGTATAAACCCTAACCCTAACCCCAGAGGTGGCTCATAGTATAAACCCTAACCCCAGAGGTGGCTTGTGGTATAAACCCTAACTCCAGAGGTGGCTCATGGTATAAACAGTAACCCTAACCCCAGAGGTGGCTCATGGTATAAACCCTAACTCCAGAGGTGGCTCATTGTATAAACCCTAACCCCAGAGGTGGCTCATGGTATAAACCCTAACCCCAGAGGTCGCTCGTGGTATAAACCCTAACCCTAACCCCAGAGGTGGCTTGTGGTATAAACCTTAACCCCAGAGGTGGCTTGTGGTATAAACCCTACCCCCAGAGGTGGCTCGTGGTATAAACCCTAACCCCAGAGGTGGCTCGTGGTATAAACCCTAACTCCAGAGGTGGCTCGTGGTATAAACCCTAACCCCAGAGGTGGCTCGTGGTATAAACCCTAACTCCAGAGGTGGCTCATGGTATAAACCCTAACTCCAGAGGTGGCTCGTGGTATAAACCCTTACCCTAACCCCAGAGGTGGCTCGTGGTATAAACCCTAACCCTAACCCCAGAGGTGGCTCATAGTATAAACCCTAACTCCAGAGGTGGCTCGTGGTATAAACCCTAACCCCAGAGGTGGCTCGTGGTATAAACCATAACTCCAGAGGTGGCTCATGGTATAAACCCTAACTCCAGAGGTGGCTCATGGTATAAACCCTAACCCCAGAGGTGGCTCATGGTATAAACCCTAACCCCAGAGGTGGCTTGTGGTATAAACCCTAACTCCAGAGGTGGCTCATGGTATAAACCCTAACCCTAACCCCAGAGGTGGCTCAATGTATAAACCCTAACTCCAGAGGTGGCTCAATGTATAAACCCTAACCCCAGAGGTGGCTTATGGTATAAACCCTAACCCCAGAGGTGGCTCATGGTATAAACCCTAACCCCAGAGGTGGCTTGTGGTATAAACCCTAACTCCAGAGGTGGCTCAATGTATAAACCCTAACCCCAGAGGTGGCTCATCGTATAAACCCTAACCCCAGAGGTGGCTTGTGGTATAAACCCTAACTCCAGAGGTGGCTCATGGTATAAACCCTAACCCTAAACCCAGAGGTGGCTTGTGGTATAAACCCTACCCCCAGAGGTGGCTCGTGGTATAAACCCTAACCCCAGAGGTGGCTCGTGGTATAAACCATAACCCCAGAGGTGGCTCATGGTATAAACCCTAACCCTAACCCCAGAGGTGGCTTGTGGTATAAACCCTAACCCCAGAGGTGGCTCGTGGTAGAAACCCTAACCCCAGAGGTGGCTCGTGGTATAAACCCTAACCCCAGAGGTGGCTCGTGGTATAAACCCTAACCCCAGAGGTGGCTCGTGGTATAAACCCTAACTCCAGAGGTGGCTCGTGGTATAAACCCTAACCCCAGAGGTGGCTCGTGGTATAAACCCTAACCCCAGAGGTGGCTCGTGGTATAAACCCTAACCCCAGAGGTGGCTCGTGGTATAAACCCTAACCCCAGATGTGGCTCAATGTATAAACCCTAACCCAGAGGTGGCTTGTGGTATAAACCCTAACACCAGAGGTGGCTCATGGTATAAACCCTAACCCCAGAGGTGGCTCATGGTATAAACCCTAACCCCAGAGGTGGCTCGTGGTATAAACCCTAACCCCAGAGATGGCTCTTCTTCTTACTCATGATCAAAAACCCCCTTTGGGAACTGCCTCGCTAAGATAAAGCTAAGTACCTGAGAGAAAACAGAGGTCACTTAACCACTGGACTATCCCCATATAACACAGACCTTACACTGCCTACATTACTAACACTGAAATTATAATACTGTCAAACTAACGTGTTATCAGAAACTAACAACTCTTTCCTCTAACGTCACTGCTCTTAAATCTGTTATGGAAAACCTAGCGCTCAAAACACAAAACGTCTTGTCCAAGTCCAAGTCTCTGCTTAATTCCAATCAGAACCATTCACTCTGTCTGTTTTGTCCAGTCAGCGCTCACTGTGGGGTCAGTGAAACCCTCATGGATCCTGGAGTTGTGGGGTCAGTGAAAACCTCATGGAACCTGGAGTCATGGGGTCAGTAAAACCCTCATGGATCCTGGAGTTGTGGGGGTCAGTGAAACCCTCATGGATGCTGGAGTTGTGGGTCAGTGAAACCCTCATGGATCCTGGAGTTGTGGGGTCAGTGAAACCCTCATGGATCCTGGAGTTGTGGGGGTCAGTGAAACCCTCATGGATCCTGGAGTTGTGGGGGTCAGTGAAACCCTCATGGATCCTGGAGTTGTGGGGTCAGTGAAACCCTCATGGATCCTGGAGTTGTGGGGTTAGTGAAACACTCATGGATCCTGGAGTTGTGGGGGTCAGTGAAACCCTCATGGATCCTGGAGTTGTGGGGGTCAGTGAAACCCTCATGGATCCTGGAGTTGTGGGGTCAGTGAAACACTCATGGATCCTGGAGTTGTGGGGTCAGTGAAACCCTCATGGATCCTGGAGTTGTGGGGGTCAGTGAAACCCTCATGGATCCTGGAGTTGTGAGGGTCAGTGAAAACCTCATGGATCCTGGAGTTGTAGGGGTCAGTGAAACCCTCATGGAACCTGGAGTCATGGGGTCAGTAAAACCCTCATGGAACCTGGAGTCATGGGGTCAGTAAAACCCTCATGGATCCTGGAGTTGTTTTTCGTTCATCATGTAGTCCTTGTCAGAGTCTCTGTGGGCTTTTGAACAGGTAGTTGCTAGGTGGTCATCTAAATGCTAGTCGTTCAGTCACTATAATCAGCTACAGTGGTTCCATAGCCACACAGACACACCCATTTATCCATTAATCTATGCAGCCACTATTCCACCGCCCATTTAGGTATCCATCTATTCATTTACCATTCTGATCTGTCTGTTTATCGATCTACGCATCTGCCTATCAAAATAACTTGATCAAGCCATTTGCCTCATTCTGTGGACTTCAAGCTTTCAGTTTCTCATAAGAAGATGATTGTAGGAAAACATCATTAGGCAGAGAAACACATTCCCACCTGAGAGACATTTAGAGAGATCTTCCCATCAGAATGGCAATCGAAATCTGCAGCTGTACTCAACATTAAGTCCAAATTATCTTCATCCACTTGCAAACTTTTGGATTTAGTGATGATGACCAGATCTGACCCTTTGCTTGGGAATGGAGCTCGCTTGTTGATGATGTCACTACTGTCCTCGGAGGAGTGTTGTTTGTGTTGATCACTGACAGGTTTCTCCTAGAATATGGGAGAACTAAAGTTTTATATAAGACAATTTGACACACTGATCTCATTTATTGACTCTTTCAGCCATTCTCATGTGTATCAAGCAAGATTGTTTCAGTGATCACTTACTGCTGGTATCATGAGGGCTAACATATTGAAACAGTTGGGGCAGAGAGAGAGAGAGAGAGAGTGAGAATGCCAGACAACAGAGACAGAGAGAGAGTGAGAATGCCAGACAACAGAGAGACAGAGAGAGAGAATGCCAGACAACAGAGAGACAGAGAGAGAGAGAGAATGCCAGACAACAGAGACAGAGAGAGAGAGAGAGAGAGAGAGAGAGAGAGAGAGAGAGAGAGAGAGAGAATGCCAGACAACAGAGAGAGAATGCCAGACAACAAAGAGACAGAATGCCAGTCAACAGAGGGACACAGAGAGAATGCCAGACAACAGAGAGACAGAGAGAGAGAATGCCAGACAACAGAGAGACAGAGAGAGAGAGAATGCCAGACAACAGAGACAGAGAGAGAGAGAGAGAGAGAGAGAGAGAGAGAATGCCAGACAACAGAGAGAGAATGCCAGACAACAAAGAGACAGAATGCCAGTCAACAGAGGGACACAGAGAGAATGCCAGACAACAGAGAGACAGACAGAGAGAATGCCACACAACAGAGAGACAGAGAGAGAGAATGCCAGACAACAGAGAGACAGAGACAGAGAGAGAGAGAGAGAGAGAGAGAGAGAGAGAGAGAGAGAGAGAGAGAGAGAATGCCAGACAACAGAGAGAGAATGCCAGACAACAAAGAGACAGAATGCCAGTCAACAGAGGGACACAGAGAGAATGCCAGACAACAGAGAGACAGAGAGAGAGAGAGAGAATGCCAGACAACAGAGAGACAGAGAGAGAGAGAGAATGCCAGACAACAGAGACAGAGAGAGAGAGAGAGAGAATGCCAGACAACAGAGAGAGAATGCCAGACAACAAAGAGACAGAATGCCAGTCAACAGAGGGACACAGAGAGAATGCCAGACAACAGAGAGACAGAGAGAGAGAATGCCAGACAACAGAGAGACAGAGAGAGAGAATGCCAGACAACAGAGAGACAGAGACAGAGAGAGAGAGAGAGAGAGAGAGAGAGAGAGAGAGAATGCCAGACAACAGAGAGACAGAGAGAGAGAATGCCCGACAACAGAGAGACAGAGAGAGAGAGAGAATGCCCGACAACAGAGAGACAGAGAGAGAGAATGCCCGACAACAGAGAGACAGAGAGAGAGAATTTCAGACAACAGAAAGACAAAAACATTCATACATAAAAGAGTCTAACGGAAGTAGAACACGAGGCAAACCAAGAAGATTATGGAGAGATAATCAAAATGCAGACCTACAAACACACTTGGAGTCAGATCTTTTTGAAAGAGAAAGCTAATAACAGAGATGAATGGAGGTGAGTGATAAGTGCAGCAATGGAGGTAGGTGATACGTGCAGCAATGGGGGTGAGTGATAACTGCAGCAATGGAGGTAAGTGATAAGTGCAGCAATGGAGGTGGGTGATAACTGCAGCAATGGAGGTGGGTGATAACTGCAGCAATGGAGGTGGGTGATAAGTGCAGCAATGGAGGTGAGAGATAAGTGCAGCAATGGAGGTAAGTGATAAGTGCAGCAATGGAGGTGAGAGATAAGTGCAGCAATGGAGGTGGGTGATAAGTGCAGCAATGGAGGTGGGTGATAACTGCAGCAATGGAGGTGAGAGATAAGTGCAGCAATGGAGGTGGGTGATAACTGCAGCAATGGAGGTAAGTGATAAGTGCAACAATGGAGGTGGGTGATAAGTGCAGCAATGGAGGTGAGTGATAACTGCAGCAATGGAGGTGAGTGATAAGTGCAGCAATGGAGGTGGGTGATAAGTGCAGCAATGGAGGTGGGTGATAAGTGCAGCAATGGAGGTGGGTGATAAGTGCAGCAATGGAGGTAAGTGATAAGTGCAGCAATGGAGGTAAGTGATAAGTGCAGCAATGGAGGTGGGTGATAAGTGCAGCAATGGAGGTAAGTGATAAGTGCAGCAATGGAGGTGGATGATGTGCAGCAATGGAGGTGGGTGATGTGCAGCAACGGAGGTAAGTGATAAGTGCAGCAATGGAGGTAAGTGATAAGTGCAGCAATGGAGGTGAGTGATAAGTGCAGCAATGGAGGTAAGTGATAACTGCAGCAATGGAGGTAAGTGATAAGTGCAGCAATGGAGGTGAGTGATGTGCAGCAATGGAGGTGGGTGATGTGCAGCAATGGAGGTAAGTAATAAGTGCAGCAATGGAGGTAAGTGATAAGTGCAGCAATGGAGGTGGGTGATGTGCAGCAATGGAGGTAAGTGATAAGTGCAGCAATGGAGGTAAGTGATAAGTGCAGCAATGGAGGTAAGTGATAACTGCAGCAATGGAGGTGGGTGATAAGTGCAGCAATGGAGGTAAGTGATAAGTGCAGCGATGGAGGTAAGTGATAAGTGCAGCAATGAGCCTCGAAGGCTCAGAATGCTGATTTAAAAACAGATACAAATTGTGTATCATGAATTTCTTATACAATTTTGAAGAAATCTGGCCAGATATGTTCACTTGCATATTCATGTTTGACTTTCATGTTATTTATAGCCTTCTTAAGAACCTGTAGCAAACTCTACTTGAACAGAAAGAGCAACTCAAATTCCTATCAATGTTTATCATGGGAAACAAATTACTGCATCAGACTCAGGAATCAGCAATGGACAAAGAATCTGAGCTGCGATATAAATTGATGTTCCACCACAAACCTGCTACATGATGTCATAGTGAGGATAAGGATGATAATGAGATGAGGATGTTGCCTATGTCTTCATCAGTGGTAACTGCTGTGTGTCTGTTCTATCATGGCTGATGCCCAGGACAGGGCATCTGAGACCTTCCACATTCCTCTACAGTCTGCCTTATTGATTGATCATTTTCCATTCTGATGTTCCTCCCTTTCATCAATCCTAAATTGTCTCATCTTCTCTCCTGGCCTCCCCCTACCTCTCTTCACCCTCAACTTTCCAAAAATAACAACCTACTCTAGGTCTGTCTACACATGCAAACAATGTGACTGACTACTTCTGATGAGCGTAAACAATCTACAGACACAAACATTGTAGACTGACTACTTCTGATGAGAGTAAACAATCTAAAGACACAAACATTGTAGACTGACTACTTCTGATGAGAGTAAACAATCTACAGACACAAACATTGTAGACTGACTACTTCTGATGAGAGTAAATAATCTACAGACACAAACATTGTAGACTACTTCTGATGAGAGTAAACAATCTACAGATACAAACATTGTAGACTGACTACTTCTGATAAGGGTAAACAATCTACAGACACAAACATTGTAGACTACTTCTGATGAGAGTAAACAATCTACAGACACAAACATTGTAGACTACTTCTGATGAGAGTAAACAATCTACAGACACAAACATTGCAGACTGACTACTTCTGATGAGAGTAAACAATCTACAGACACAAACATTATAGACTGACTACTTCTATTGAGAGTAAACAATCTACAGACTCAAACATTATAGACTGACTACTTCTGATGAGAGTAAACAATCTACAGACTCAAACATTATAGACTGACTATTTCTGATGAGAGTAAACAATCTACAGACACAAACATTGTAGACTGACTACTTCTGATGAGAGTAAACAATCTACAGACACAAACATTGTAGACTGACTTCTTCTGATGAGAGTAAAAAATCTACAGACACAAACATTGTAGACTACTTCTGATGAGAGTAAACAATCTACAGACACAAACATTGTAGACTGACTACTTCTGATGAGAGTAAACAATCTACAGACACAAACATTGTAGACTAAGTACTTCTGATGAGAGTAAACAATCTACAGACACAAACATTGTAGACTGACTACTTCTGATGAGAGTAAACAATCTACAGACACAAACATTGTAGACTGAACACTTCTGATGAGAGTAAACAATCTACAGACTCAAACATTATAGACTGATTACTTCTGATGAGAGTAAACAATCTACAGACTCAAACATTGTAGACTGACTACTTCTGATGAGAGTAAACAATCTACAGACTCAAACATTATAGACTGACTACTTCTGATGAGAGTAAACAATCTACAGACACAAACATTGTAGACTGACTACTTCTGATGAGAGTAAACAATCTACAGACTCAAACATTGTAGACTACTTCTGATGAGAGTAAACAATCTACAGACACAAACATTGTAGACTGATTACTTCTGATGAGAGTAAACAATCTACAGACACAAACATTGTAGACTGACTACTTCTGATGAGAGTAAACAATCTACAGACACAAACATTGTAGACTGATTACTTCTGATGAGAGTAAACAATCTACAGACACAAACATTGTAGACTACTTCTGATGAGAGTAAACAATCTACAGACACAAACATTGTAGACTACTTCTGATGAGAGTAAACAATCTACAGACACAAACATTGCAGACTGACTACTTCTGATGAGAGTAAACAATCTACAGACTCAAACATTGTAGACTACTTCTGATGAGAGTAAACAATCTACAGACACAAACATTGTAGACTACTTCTGATGAGAGTAAACAATCTACAGACTCAAACATTGTAGACTACTTCTGATGAGAGTAAACAATCTACAGACACAAACATTGTAGACTACTTCTGATGAGAGTAAACAATCTACAGACACAAACATTGTAGACTACTTCTGATGAGAGTAAACAATCTACAGACACAAACATTGTAGACTGACTACTTCTGATGAGAGTAAACAATCTACAGACTCAAACATTGTAGACTGACTACTTCTGATGAGAGTAAACAATCTACAGACACAAACATTGCAGACTACTTCTGATGAGAGTAAACAATCTACAGACTCAAACATTGCAGACTGACTACTTCTGATGAGAGTAAATAATCTACAGACACAAACAATGTAGACTGACTACTTCTGATGAGAATAAATAATCTACAGACACAAACAATGTGACTGACTACTTCTGATGATAGTAAACAATCTACAGACACAAACATTGTAGATTGACTACTTCTGATGAGAGTAAACAATCTACAGACACAAACATTGTATACTGACTACTTCTGATGAGAGTAAACAATATACAGACTCAAACATTGTAGACTACTTCTGATGAGAGTAAACAATCTACAGACTCAAACATTATAGACTGATTACTTCTGATGAGAGTAAACAATCTACAGACACAAACATTGTATACTGACTACTTCTGATGAGAGTAAACAATATACAGACTCAAACATTGTAGACTGGACTACTACCGATGAGAGTAAACAATCTACAGACTCAAACATTGTAGACTGACTACTTCTGATGAGAGTAGACAATCTACAGACTCAAAGATTATAGACTGACTACTTCTGATGAGAGTAAACAATCTACATACACAAACATTGTAGACTGACTACTTCTGATGAGAGTAAACAATCTACAGACTCAAACATTATAGACTGATTACTTCTGATGAGAGTAAACAATCTACAGACACAAACATTGTAGACTACTTCTGATGAGAGTAAACAATCTACAGACACAAACATTGTAGACTGACTACTTCTGATGAGAGTAAACAATCTACAGACTCAAACATTGTAGACTGACTACTTCTGATGAGAGTAAACAATCTACAGACACAAACACTGCAGACTACTTCTGATGAGAGTAAACAATCTACAGACACAAACATTGCAGACTACTTCTGATGAGAGTAAACAATCTACAGACTCAAACATTGCAGACTGACTACTTCTGATGAGAGTAAATAATCTACAGACACAAACAATGTAGACTGACTACTTCTGATGAGAATAAATAATCTACAGACACAAACAATGTGACTGACTACTTCTGATGAGAGTAAACAATCTACAGACACAAACATTGTAGATTGACTACTTCTGATGAGAGTAAACAATCTACAGACACAAACATTGTATACTGACTACTTCTGATGAGAGTAAACAATATACAGACTCAAACATTGTAGACTACTTCTGATGAGAGTAAACAATCTACAGACTCAAACATTATAGACTGATTACTTCTGATGAGAGTAAACAATCTACAGACACAAACATTGTATACTGACTACTTCTGATGAGAGTAAACAATATACAGACTCAAACATTGTAGACTGGACTACTACTGATGAGAGTAAACAATCTACAGACTCAAACATTGTAGACTGACTACTTCTTATGAAAGTAAACAATCTACAGACACAAACATTGTAGACTAGCTACTTCTGATGAGAGTAAACAATCTACAGACTCAAACATTGTAGACTGACTACTTCTGATGAGAGTAAACAATCTACAGACTCAAACATTGTAGACTGACTACTTCTGATGAGAGTAAACAATCTACAGACTCAAACATTGTAGACTGACTACTTCTGATGAGAGTAAACAATCTATAGACTCAAACATTGTAGACTGACTACTTCTGATGAGAGTAAACAATCTACAGACTCAAACATTGTAGACTTCTGATGAGAGTAAACAATCTACAGACTCAAACATTGTAGACTGACTACTTCTGATGAGAGTAAACAATCTACAGACTCAAACATTGAAGACTTCTGATGAGAGTAAACAATCTACAGACTCAAACATTGTAGACTGACTACTTCTTATGAAAGTAAACAATCTACAGACACAAACATTGTAGACTGACTACTTCTTATGAAAGTAAACAATCTACAGACTCAAACATTGTAGACTGACTACTTCTGATGAGAGTAAACAATCTACAGACTCAAACATTGTAGACTGACTACTTCTTATGAAAGTAAACAATCTACAGACACAAACATTGTAGACTGGCTACTTCTGATGAGAGTAAACAATCTACAGACTCAAACATTGTAGACTTCTGATGAGAGTAAATAATCTACAGACACAAACAATGTGACTGACTTCTTCTGATGAGAGTAAACAATCTACAAACTCAAACATTGTAGAGTGACTACTTCTGATGAGAGTAAACAATCTACAAACTCAAACATTGTAGAGTGACTACTTCTGATGAGAGTAAACAATCTACAAACTCAAACATTGTAGAGTGACTACTTCTGATGAGAGTAAACAATCTACAAACTCAAACATTGTAGACTGACTACTTCTGATAAGAGTAAACAATACTTTCCTTTTCAGGTAAAATAAAATACATGTTTGTTTAGCTTGCATATAATTTTTGACTATTGTTCTGATTGTATGGGGTTCACTTCTGCACATCACTATTAGATTACTCTAACCCTTATAAATTAGAATTCTCATTGTCACCTTAGTTTTCAATGATATATTGTACACTGACTGACTGACATTCTACCCCACTAGGACATCACACAAGCGATAAACACCCGATGACACAAAGTGCCACTATGTGGATGAGGATCGCTGTGGAGAGGTCCCAGAAACCGCGTTCAGACAATTGGCCATATTTATGGCCTGCCTATATTTGCAGCCCCTGGCAACAAAAAATAACAAAAAATTTCGTCCTAAAAAGGACGTAAGGCATAGTATATATCGTACACAGTATTCTTTAGTAAAATAATGCTGTTTTTAAAAAAAAAAAAAGAGTAAAATTATGCTGTTTCTAAGGGTATTCAATGAACACATTTATTAACAGCAGATTTTATTTCTGACTAGAGACTTGAGTACAGGTGTCCAGCTGATAGATCCTGTTTTTGACTCTAGAATAACGTGTCCAGTTGTCCAGCTAACAGATCCTGTTTCTGACCCTAGAATAACGTGTCCATGTATCATGCTAAGAGATCTTGTATTTCAGTTTAGAATCAAGTGTCTAGCTAGAGTTCATGGCTGTCTTTCTTACCTTTGTGGTCCTGATGTGATAAGGAAAGTTGTGGTTGACCCTGTGAGGCAATGTCAGCATCTAGGACAGAGAAACAAAATACATTCTAACTTATGTATGAATATAAATGACATCAGCTACCAAAGTGCGCTCCCCACAGGCACTGCATTGCAGTGCTCTCCGTTTCTTTTCCTAAGCTCTTCACCAAAAGACTGAGCAAGACTTTGGCCAGAAATCACATGTATGGATTTGATTTGAATTGATTTGATTTAAGAATCCACATCACAGCACTCAGGGCATTCCCAAAAGGGCTCCGTCCCCATCTTCAGCAGCCAGCGAAGCGTTCCGATACTAATGGTGCCAGTAGCTTTCTGATTAAACGTCTGTCTTGCCTTTCCTCTGAGCCTTGAGCTTCTGCCAGAACCTCTCGTCACCCCCAACTGCATCAATCTCACCAGACTGTGGTGATCCATCTGCTCCTCCGCATTTTACACGCTCTCCCACAAGGCACTAACCACTTCTGCCTTATCATGCATCAGTATTCTGCCAAGTTGTGCAGAGCCAACCAGTCTGTCCGCCTGTTCATTTCCCAATACACTAGCATACCCCAGTGAAAAAATCCAGACAATACTCCTCACCTGTGAAGTGTGGCATCCCTGGTGTCTACATCATTATGATCTGTCTGTGCTATAAACCTATGGAGAAAAGCCTCCCCTTTCTCCTTGTCTGTTATCATACGCACACCATCGTCTCTACAGATTGTTCCCACTGTCATAGGCCGATCTTTTCTTTGCATCTGCCTTTGCAGTTTCCAGAATTTCCCCGATGTTTTATTGCCTCCAATATCATTCACAAAAGTTTCCAACCCCTTGTGATCTGTGCAGCACATCGCTTGAAAACCTCCACCTTATCTTTTTTCACATTCTCCGCCATCTCCACTTCCTCTCGTGAGCTTGAGGGTGTCTGTAGGACTTTCTTTAATTGCTTCATTGCGGTTCTCTTTGCCTTCTATGCCTGTTCTACTTTTGGAGTCCACCATGGGGGCTGTAGAAAATTAGTTCTGGCAATTCTCTTGCATGCTCCCTGTCCGAGACGCCCAAGTAGGCTGTTGGTCCACTTATACCGGAAGGTCTTGCATGCCCTCCCAGCCTTAACCTTACTGGGTTTAGAAATCAGGACTGAACATGGTAGGTGATCACTTCCATGGTCATTCAGGACAGTCCATTTAACATCTAAAACCGACGACTGGGAGACAAATGTCAAGTCAATGGCTGTGTCTGCATTGCCAGACCTCATTGCCATTCTTGTTGGCCTCACATCATTGATGCAGACCATATCCGAGTCAGTCATGGCCTCTGCAAGAGCAATTTCCTGTCGGTTTTCTCCACTGCTGTCCCATTCTCTGTTACTCGCGTTGAAATGGACTGCTGTCCCATTCTCTGTTACTCACGTTGAAATGGACTGCTGTCCCATTCTCTGTTACTCACGTTGAAATGGACTGCTGTCCCATTCTCTGTTACTCATGTTGAAATGGACTGCTGTCCCATTCTCTGTTACTCACGTTGAAATGGACTGCTGTGCAAAGCTAACGGGTGTTCACCTACCCGAGGAAAGTGGTTATAGCACCCCGACCCGCTTGGCAGGCACGTCTCCGAGCATATGAGGTATTCTATAAGGATTTCAGATCCCACCCTGAAATCCCGCCTCGCCCTCTGTGCCCACCGCCAGTTGGTGCACGGCTGCTTATTGGGTATTTACAGCTAACCTCTATATCTAGAGGCCGTTCCACAATCCACCACTAGTGAACACGCTGGGTTGCGGATGGTCCCCAGCTTTACCCAGATGTCCACAGCACACACCAGCTGCCTGGAACAAGACTACTGCCATGAGTGGACAAACATCCGGGACTTTCCACCGAGTTCACAGCCAGCACACTTAGAAGAAGTTGGGCCAGCTCTGTGACTTAAAAATTAGTGAATGCATTTCACAATCTGACAATCCTTGTCATGAGAGGTTTTAATTTCTGCAGCGGCTAAATGTTTATAAACTTTAAAAACATGTTTATGCCTCTTGGACAGTGCTGCCTGAGTGCCGCAGTAGAGAAGACTGGAGAATCCTAATAATAAAAAAAACTCACATGTCAGTTTAGGGGCCTCATTGAGGAGGTAAAAAATTTTTTTTTTAAAAGCCACTGTCCCCTAGAAGGATGAAAAAGTCTACTAATTAGAGTATTTTCTTCAAAGTCAAACTGTCAAAGAGATGGGGAACCATTAGTAAGCCAGATCTGTAAAATTGATGTGCACACAAAACTAAAGTTATGGAAGAGAAATCAAGTCCAAAAATTACTGTCTCTATTTTACCCACTCTTGCAGTGTAGGCGGGGGAGGGGAGGGGGGAGGGGGCGGGGGAGGGGAGGGGGGGTTCTCTTCTCAGCTTCATGGCCTGCATCTATTTAATCTGTGGGTTCCATGTTCCCTGTGGGTTCCAGGCTCCCTGTGGGTTTCAGGCTCCCTGTGGGTTCCAGGCTCCTTGTGGGTTCTGTGGGTTCCATGCTTTCTGTGGGTTCCATGCTCCCTGTGGGTTCCATGTTCCCTGTGGGTTCCATGCTCCCTGTGGGTTCCATGCTCCCTGTGGGTTCCATGCTCCCTGTGGGTTCCATGCTCCCTGTGGGTTCCATGCTCCCTGTGGGTTCCATGCTCCCTGTGGGTTCCATGCTCCCTGTGGGTTCCATGCTCCCTGTGGGTTCCATGCTCCCTGTGGGTTCCATGCTCCCTGTGGGTTCCATGCTCCCTGTGGGTTCCATGCTCCCTGTGGGTTCCATGCTCCCTGTGGGTTCCATGCTCCCTGTGGGTTCCATGCTCCCTGTGGGTCCCATGTTCCCTGTGGGTCCCATGTTCCCTGTGGGTTCCATGCTCCCTGTGGGTCCCATGTTCCCTGTGGGTCCCATGTTCCCTGTGGGTCCCATGCTCCCTGTGGGTCCCATGTTCCCTGTGGGTTCCATGCTCCCTGTGGGTCCCATGTTCCCTGTGGGTCCCATGTTCCCTGTGGGTTCCAGGTCCCTTTAAGGGGGAAAAAAGAACAGACCCAGTGCCCCCTAACAAGCAGGTAACAAGGTGAAGGTCAATCTAGTGTGTGTGTGTGTGTGTGTGTGTGTGTGTGTGTATCTCTGGTACTTGCAAGTGGGTACTTTATAAATTATATTTGAAGAAAGAAAGAGATTTGACTTTGTGCAATGGAGAGCTAAGTAGAGTCTGCAATAGATAGCTGAATAGAGTCTGCAATAGATAGCTGAGTACAGTCTGCAATAGATAGCTGAGTACAGTCTGCGATAGATAGCTGAGCACAGTCTGCAATAATTAGCTGAGCACTGTCTGCGATAATAAGCTGAGCACAGTCTGCGATAGATAGCTGAGTACAGTCTACGATAGATAGCTGAGTACAGTCTGCGATAGATAGCTGAGTACAGTCTGCGATAGATAGCTAAGTACAGTGTGCAATAGATAGCTGAGTACACTCTGCGATAGATAGCTGAGTACAGTCTGCGATAGATAGCTGAGTACAGTGTGCCATAGATAGCTGAGTACAGTCTGCGATAGATAGCTAAGTACAGTGTGCAATAGATAGCTGAGTACAGTGTGCAACAGATAGCCCAGTACAGTGTGCAATAGATAGCTAATTACAGTGTGCGATAGATAGCTGAGTACAGTGTGCGATAGATAGCTAATTACAGTGTGCGATAGATAGCTGAGTACAGTGTGCAATAGATAGCTAATTACAGTGTGCGATAGATAACTAATTACAGTGTGCAATAGATAGCTAATTACAGTGTGCGATAGATAGCTGAGTACAGTGTGCAATAGATAGCTAATTACAGTGTGCGATAGATAGCTGAGTACAGTGTGCAAAAGATAGCTAATTACAGTGTGCGATAGATAGCTGAGTACAGTGTGCGATAGATAGCTAAGTACAGTGTGCAATAGATAGTTAAGTACAGTGTGCAATAGATAGCTGAGTACAGTGTGCGATAGATAGCTGAGTACAGTGTGCAATAGATAGCTAAGTACAGTGTGCAATAGATAGCCAAGTACAGATCACTTCCTTTGGTCAGTCAAAATGCAGTTCTAAAACCGTTGTTGTACATACCAGGAAAAACAAATGACCCATGAACTCAATCGATTGTTGAACTCCGTTGACCGTTTTCTCCCTGGTCCACTTGGCCATCACAAACATGGCGATGAGGACCACAACAGGACCTGCCCAAAACCTGCCGAGGAGATGTTGTCACTGTTATATGTATGAATGTTTTGTTAAACATTTTGTGTTATATCATAGTAAATTTTGGAATGCGAATGATGAAATTAGGTAGTAGTAATTTAAACAATAATATCTTTTTCTTCCTATTCTTCATTCTTCTTCTTCTTCTTCTTCTTCTTCTTCCTCTTTTCTTCTTGTTAGCATAAACCAGCTCTAAACTCCGGCGGAAAGTTCTGGTTGTTCATCCTCTTCTGGAATTTGATCTTGTTCCAGAACCAGTTTTGCACCCTTTTCTACAAATTTGGCTTATTTATATGCAGACTGTTGATTCCTGGCCTCTCAGCAGGCGTACTCTAACTCTGAAGTGAACACCCATAATTAATCTTCTATGAAATAATTTGTTAGTGAGGCAGTGGGTCACAGTGGGTCATAGGGGGTCGACTCTTTGTTCTTCCAAATGGAGCCCTGGAACCCATACTGGGACAATACCCTATCTGGGTTACAATTAGCACATATAGAGTTCTTTTTTTAAACATTTCAGTATTGAGTCTTTGTGTCTGTCAATGACTCTGGGTAATTTAATAGTGAACAAATTGAGTATTCATTGTTACAGTATGTAGCAGTAAAGATTCTTCAGTTGACTTTATTTTAAGTGGCTTGCTTTTATTTTTTAAATAATTGTGATAATCATATTACACATAGGGTCACCAACTGGATGGAGAGGGCCAACAAGAGAGATGAATTTAGGCGGCTGATATCTGCAGCAATAAACCTCAAGGGCTCGGAATGATGATTAAGAAGAAGATAATCATATTGTTTAATCTTCATTTAGATTATTTATAGTTAACTGGAATAACATTATTCTCTCAAATGATTTACGGAACAGTGAGCGGAGCACATTCGGTGTTTGGAAACCATGATTCATCAAATGCCTCAGACAGAAAAGTTAGCACTGACTGCCCAGACATAGCTTATGTAAGTAGAACATTATGTCAGTATAAGAAACAGTGTCATTTGCTCATGTGCTTGGAAGACAGGTACTTCGGAACACTGTTACAAGTGGCAAAATTAGATCTTGCTCATGTGCCGAGAAGACAGGTATTGCGGAACACTGTTACAAGTGGGAAAATTAGATGTAAAATAGGCATAGGTACATACACCATGTCAGTGTCATTATTGGGGTTGGTCTGTCACAGCAGGCGGGGGTTGGTCTGTCACAGCAGGCGGGGGGTTGGTCTGTCACAGCAGGCGGGGGGTGGTCTGTCACAGCAGGCGGGGGTTGGTCTGTCACAGCAGGCGGGGGTTGGTCTGTCACAGCAGGCGGGGGTTGGTCTGTCACAGCAGGCGGGGGTTGGTCTGTCACAGCAGGTGGGGGTTGGTCTGTCACAGCAGGCGGGGGTTGGTCTGTCACAGCAGGCGGGGGTTGGTCTGTCACAGCAGGCGGGGGTTGGTCTGTCACAGCAGGGGGGGGGGGGGGGTTGGTCTGTCACAGCAGGCGGGGGTTGGTCTGTCACAGCAGGCGGGGGTTGGTCTGTCACAGCAGGCGGGGGTTGGTCTGTCACAGCAGGTGGGTGTTGTCATCATTTTTGAACAAAGTGATCTCAGCGGAATCAAAATGATAAGTGTCTTCTAACATCACAGCTCACAACCTATAGATGATGTAGGCTGCTGGTTCTCAACCTTTTGGCACCTGTTGCCTACAAAAACAGGGACAAATGTTCCACGGCCCACCTGGCATTTAACCTGGCCCAGAACCAAACTACATAGATGGCATTTAATCAAGCACAGAACCAAACTACATAGATGGCATTTAATCAAGCACAGAACCAAACTACATAGATGGCATTTAATCAAGCACAGAACCAAACTACATAGATGGCATTTAATCAAGCACAGAACCAAACTACATAGATGGCATTTAATCAAGCACAGAACCAAACTACATAGATGGCATTTAATCAAGCACAGAACCAAACTACATAGATGGCATTTAACCTGGCCCAGAACCAAACTACATAGATGGCATTTAACCTGGCCCAGAACCAAACTACATAGATGGCATTTAATCAAGCACAGAACCAAACTACATAGATGGCATTTAATCAAGCCCAGAACCAAACTACATAGATGGCATTTAATCAAGCACAGAACCAAACTACATAGATGGCATTTAATCAAGCACAGAACCAAACTACATAGATGGCATTTAATCAAGCACAGAACCAAACTACATAACATAACCAAGCACAGAACCAAACTACATAGATGGCATTTAATCAAGCACAGAACCAAACTACATAGATAGCATTTAATCAAGCACAGAACCAAACTACATATAGATTTAATCAAGGCATTTAATCAAGCACAGAACCAAACTACATAGATGGCATTTAATCAAGAACCAAAACTACATAGATGGCACAGAACCAAACTACATAGATGGCATTTAATCAAGCACAGAACCAAACTACATAGATAGGCATTTAATCAAGCACAGAACAAGCACAAACTACATAGATGGCATTTAATCAAGCACAGAACCAAACTACATAGATGGCATTTAATCAGAACAAAACCAAACCAAACTACATAGATGGCATTTAATCAAGCCCAGAACCAAACTACATAGATGGCATTTAATCAAGCACAGAACCAAACTACATAGATGGCATTTAATCAAGCCCAGAACCAAACTACATAGATGGCATTTAACCTGGCCCAGAACCAAACTACATAGATGGCATTTAATCAAGCCCAGAACCAAACTACATAGATGGCATTTAATCAAGCCCAGAACCAAACTACATAGATGGCATTTAACCTGGCACAGAACCAAACTACATATATGGCATTTAACCTGGCACAGAACCAAACTACATAGATGGCATTTAACCAAGCACAGAACCAAACTACATAGATGGCATTTAATCAAGCACAGAACCAAACTACATAGATGGCATTTAATCAAGCACAGAACCAAACTACATAGATGGCATTTAATCAAGCACAGAACCAAACTACATAGATGGCATTTAATCAAGCACAGAACCAAACTACATAGATGGCATTTAATCAAGCCCAGAACCAAACTACATAGATGGCATTTAATCAAGCCCAGAACCAAACTACATAGATGGCATTTAATCAAGCACAGAACCAAACTACATAGATGGCATTTAATCAAGCACAGAACCAAACTACATAGATGGCATTTAATCAAGCACAGAACCAAACTACATAGATGGCATTTAATCAAGCACAGAACCAAACTACATAGATGGCATTTAATCAAGCCCAGAACCAAACTACATAGATGGCATTTAATCAAGCACAGAACCAAACTACATAGATGGCATTTAATCAAGCACAGAACCAAACTACATAGATGGCATTTAATCAAGCACAGAACCAAACTACATAGATGGCATTTAATCAAGCACAGAACCAAACTACATAGATGGCATTTAATCAAGCACAGAACCAAACTACATAGATGGCATTTAATCAAGCACAGAACCAAACTACATAGATGGCATTTAATCAAGCCCAGAACCAAACTACATAGATGGCATTTAATCAAGCCCAGAACCAAACTACATAGATGGCATTTAATCAAGCACAGAACCAAACTACATAGATGGCATTTAACCTGGCCCAGAACCAAACTACATAGATGGCATTTAATCAAGCACAGAACCAAACTACATAGATGGCATTTAATCAAGCACAGAACCAAACTACATAGATGGCATTTAATCAAGCACAGAACCAAACTACATAGATGGCATTTAATCAAGCACAGAACCAAACTACATAGATGGCATTTAATCAAGCACAGAACCAAACTACATAGATGGCATTTAATCAAGCACAGAACCAAACTACATAGATGGCATTTAATCAAGCACAGAACCAAACTACATAGATGGCATTTAATCAAGCACAGAACCAAACTACATAGATGGCATTTAATCAAGCACAGAACCAAACTACATAGATGGCATTTAATCAAGCCCAGAACCAAACTACATAGATGGCATTTAATCAAGCACAGAACCAAACTACATAGATGGCATTTAATCAAGCACAGAACCAAACTACATAGATGGCATTTAATCAAGCACAGAACCAAACTACATAGATGGCATTTAATCAAGCCCAGAACCAAACTACATAGATGGCATTTAATCAAGCACAGAACCAAACTACATAGATGGCATTTAATCAAGCACAGAACCAAACTACATAGATGGCATTTAATCAAGCACAGAACCAAACTACATAGATGGCATTTAATCAAGCACAGAACCAAACTACATAGATGGCATTTAATCAAGCACAGAACCAAACTACATAGATGGCATTTAATCAAGCACAGAACCAAACTACATAGATGGCATTTAATCAAGCCCAGAACCAAACTACATAGATGGCATTTAATCAAGCCCAGAACCAAACTACATAGATGGCATTTAATCAAGCACAGAACCAAACTACATAGATGGCATTTAATCAAGCCCAGAACCAAACTACATAGATGGCATTTAATCAAGCACAGAACCAAACTACATAGATGGCATTTAATCAAGCCCAGAACCAAACTACATAGATGGCATTTAAACAAGCAAGCACAGAACCAAACTACATAGATGGCATTTAATCAAGCACAGAACCAAACTACATAGATGGCATTTAATCAAGCACAGAACCAAACTACATAGATGGCATTTAATCAAGCACAGAACCAAACTACATAGATGGCATTTAATCAAGCACAGAACCAAACTACATAGATGGCATTTAATCAAGCACAACCAAACTACATAGATGGCATTTAATCAAGCACAGAACCAAACTACATAGATGGCATTTAATCAAGCACAGAACCAAACTACATAGATGGCATTTAATCAAGCACAGAACCAAACTACATAGATGGCATTTAATCAAGCACAGAACCAAACTACATAGATGGCATTTAATCAAGCACAGAACCAAACTACATAGATGGCATTTAATCAAGCACAGAACCAAACTACATAGATGGCATTTAATCAAGCACAGAACCAAACTACATAGATGGCATTTAATCAAGCCCAGAACCAAACTACATAGATGGCATTTAATCAAGCACAGAACCAAACTGGCCCCGACATACATAGATGGCATTTAATCAAGCACAGAACCAAACTACATAGATGGCATTTAATCAAGCACAGAACCAAGATGGCTACATAGAACCAAACTACATGGCATTTAATCAAGCACAGAACCAAACTACATAGATGGCATTTAATCAAGCACAGAACCAAACTACATAGATGGCATTTAATCAAGCACAGAACCAAACTACATAGATGGCATTTAATCAAGCCCAGAACCAAACTACATAGATGGCATTTAATCAAGCACAGAACCAAACTACATAGATGGCATTTAATCAAGCCCAGAACCAAACTACATAGATGGCATTTAATCTAGCACAGAACCAAACTACATAGATGGCATTTAATCATAGAGATGGCATTTAATGGCACAGAACCAAACTACATAGATGGCATTTAATCATCAACCAAACACAGAACCAAACTACATACATAGATGGCATTTAATCAAGCACAGAACTACATAGATGGCATTTAATCAAGCACAGAACCAAACTACATAGATGGCATTTAATCAAGCACAGAACCAAACTACATAGGCATGGCATGGCATTTAATCAAGAACCAAACAGAACCAAACCACTATATATATGGCATTTAATCAAGCACAGAACCAAACTACATATATGGCATTTAATCAAGCACAGAACCAAACTACATAGATGGCATTTAATCAAGCACAGAACCAAACTACATAGATGGCATTTAATCAAGCACAGAACCAAACTACATAGATGGCATTTAATCAAGCCCAGAACCAAACTACATATATGGCATTTAACCTGGCACAGAACCAAACTACATATATGGCATTTAACCTGGCCCAGAACCAAACTACATAGATGGCATTTAATCAAGCACAGAACCAAACTACATAGATGGCATTTAACCTGGCCCAGAACCAAACTACATAGATGGCATTTATTTATTAAATCTGAGCTCACAAAACTAACATTTTTAGCTAACATGACATCTACTTCTTCTAAACCTTTTCACACATACAGGAAGTTAAAAATGACCAAGAGTCTGATAGCTCTATAATTCAGATATGAATATTATTTTCTTCTTACATGATTATGCAGAAATTGTTATTAGACTACAGACACATCTCAGCCTCACAACTCACCAGATTGTGTAGACTACAGACACATCTCAGCCTCACAACTCACCAGATTGTGTAGACTACAAACACATCTCAGCCTCACAACTCACCAGATTGTGTAGACTACAGACACATCTCAGCCTCACAACTCACCAGATTGTGTAGACTACAGACACATCTCAGCCTCACAACTCACCAGATTGTGTAGACTACAGACACATCTCAGCCTCACAACTCACCAGATTGTGTAGACTACAAACACATCTCAGCCTCACAACTCACCAGATTGTGTAGACTACAGACACATCTCAGCCTCACAACTCACCAGATTGTGTAGACTACAGACACATCTCAGCCTCACAACTCACCAGATTGTGTAGACTACAAACACATCTCAGCCTCACAACTCACCAGATTGTGTAGACTACAGACACATCTCAGCCTCACAACTCACCAGATTGTGTAGACTACAGACACATCTCAGCCTCACAACTCACCAGATTGTGTAGACTACAGACACATCTCAGCCTCACAACTCACCAGATTGTGTAGACTACAGACACATCTCAGCCTCACAACTCACCAGATTGTGTAGACTACAGACACATCTCAGCCTCACAACTCACCAGATTGTGTAGACTACAGACACATCTCAGCCTCACAACTCACCAGATTGTGTAGACTACAGACACATCTCAGCCTCACAACTCACCAGATTGTGTAGACTACAGACACATCTCACAGACACCATCTGTAGACTACAGACACATCTCAGCCTCACAACTCACCAGATTGTGTAGACTACAGACACATCTCAGCCTCACAACTCACCAGATTGTGTAGATGGTGTAGAATAGCACATAGAATTTGGTTTTGGATGAGTTATGTTTCAACGTACACACAGCAGACATGGTGAACCAAAGCCAGCCAATCAAAATGACTGTCAGCATTCCATATCCCGGAGGACTCTCGTAGTGGTAGAGGACCAGACCAGGGTCAAACAACTGCCGGTGGAGGGGACCACCAAGAGGAGATCAGTCAGAACGTTACACACAACCATGACATGCACATACAACTTTAGACACAACCATGACATGCACATACAACTTTAGACACAACCATGACATGCACATACAACTTTACACACAGCCACGACATGCACATACAACTTTACACACAACCATGACATGCACATACAACTTTACAAACAACCATGACATGCACATACAACTTTACACACAGTCACGACATGCACATACAACTTTACACACAAATATGAAATGCACATACAACTTTACACACAACCATGACATGCACATACAACTTTAGACACAACTATGACATGCACATACAACTTTACACACAACCATGACATGCACATACAACAAATATCGTTACCACCTTCTTTCACATTCACCCTTACCAAGGACAGGTGGCACTTTGAGTTATGATTTACAGCTAGGCTGTGATAATTTACCTTTCTAGAAAACACATCCAATTTTAGCAAAACTTGAATTAGCCAGCTTTAATGGCATGTACATTAAAGTGCAGTGAATCAGTTCTACCCCAAGTGCAGTGGGTCAGTTCTTCCCCATGTGTAGTGGGTCAGTTCTTCCCCATGTGTAGTGGGTCAGTTCTTCCCCATGTGTAGTGGGTCAGTTCTTCCCCAAGTGTAGTGGGTCAGTTCTTCCCCATGTGTAGTGGGTCGGTTCTAACCCAAGTGTAGTGGGTCAGTTCTTCTCCATGTGTTTTGGGTCAGTTCTTCCCCATGTGTAGTGGGTCAGTTCTTCCCCATGTGTAGTGGGTCAGTTCTTCCCCATGTGTAGTGGGTCAGTTCTTCCCCATGTGTAGTGGGTCAGTTCTTCCCCATGTGTAGTGGGTCAGTTCTTCCTCATGTGTAGTGGGTCAGTTCTTCCCCATGTGTAGTGGGTCAGTTCTTCCCCATGTGTAGTGGGTCAGTTCTTCCCCATGTGTAGTGGGTCAGTTCTTCCCCATGTGTAGTGGGTCAGTTCTTCACCATGTGTAGTGGGTCAGTTCTTCCCCATGTGTAGTGGGTCAGTTCTTCCCCATGTGTAGTGGGTCAGTTCTTCCGCATGTGTAGTGGGTCAGTTCTTCCCCATGTGTAGTGGGTCAGTTCTTCCCCATGTGTAGTGGGTCAATTCTTCCCCATGTGTAGTGGGTCAGTTCTAACCCATGTGAAGTGGCTCAGTTCTTCCCCATGTGTAGTGGGTCAGTTCTTCCCCATGTGTAGTGGGTCAGTTCTTCCCCATGTGTAGTGGGTCAGTTCTTCCCCATGTGTAGTGGGTCAGTTCTTCCCCATGTGTAGTGGGTCAGTTCTTCCCCAAGTGCAGTGGGTCAGTTCTAACCCAAGTGTAGTGGGTCAGTTCTAACCCAATTGTATTGGGTCAGTGCTAACCCAAGTGTAGTGGGTCAGTTCTTCCCCATGTGTAGAGGGTCAGTTCTAACCCAAGTGTAGTGGGTCAGTTCTAACCTAAGTGTAGTGGGTCAGTTCTAACCCAAGTGTAGTGGGTCAGTTCTAACCCAAGTGTAGTGGGTCAGTTCTAACCCAAGTGTAGTGGGTAAGTTCTTCTCCATGTGTATTGGGTCAGTTCTAACCCAAGTGTAGTGGGTCAATTCTAACCCAAGTGTAGTGAGTCAGTTCTAACCCAAGTGTAGTGGGTCAGTTCTAACCCATGTGTAGTGGGTCAGTTTTTACCCATGTGTAGTGGGTCAGTTCTAACCCAATTGTAGTGGGTCAGTGCTAACCCAAGTGTAGTGGGTCAGTTCTTCCCCATGTGTAGTGGGTCAGTTCTAACCCAAGTGTATTGGGTCAGTTCTAACCCAAGTGTAGTGGGTCAGTTCTAACCCAAGTGTAGTGGGTCAGTTCTAACCCAAGTGTAGTGAGTCAGTTCTAACCCAAGTGTAGTGGGTCAGTTCTAACCCATGTGTAGTGGGTGGGTCAGTTCTAACCCAAGTGTAGTGAGTCAGTTCTAACCCAAGTGTAGTGGGTCAGTTCTAACCCAAGTGTAGTGGGTCAGTTCTAACCCAAGTGTAGTGAGTCAGTTCTAACCCAAGTGTAGTGAGTCAGTTCTAACCCAAGTGTAGTGGGTCAGTTCTAACCCAAGTGTAGTGGGTCAGTTCTAACCCAAGTGTAGTGGGTCAGTTCTAACCCAAGTGTAGTGGGTGGGTCAGTTCTAACCCAAGTGTAGTGGGTCAGTTCTAACCCAAGTGTAGTGGGTCAGTTCTAACCCAAGTGTAGTGGGTCAGTTCTAACCCAAGTGTAGTGGGTCAGTTCTAACCCAAGTGTAGTGGGTCAGTTCTAACCCATGTGTAGTGAGTGGGTCAGTTCTAACCCATGTGTAGTGAGTGGGTCAGTTCTAACCCAAGTGTAGTGGGTCAGTTCTAACCCAAGTGTAGTGGGTCAGTTCTAACCCAAGTTGGTGACTGTATTGTATCTGTGTAGTCTCACCACAAGTCAGCAGGTCTTGTACAGAATGCAACTCTCTTCACGGCATTTCTGACAGTCTTCCTTTCTCTAGCCAATTCTCCAGCCCTGGCTACTTTCATAGCCAGTGTATCTTCAGTGTCTTGTATCTAGCCAATTCTCCAGCCCTGGCTACTTTCATAGCCAGTGTATATTCAGTGTCTTGTATCTAGCCAATTCTCCAGCCCTGGCTTCTCTCATAGCCAGTGTATCTTCAGTGTCTTGTATCTAGCCAATTCTCCAGCCCTGGCTTCTCTCTTAGCCAGTGTATCTTCAGTGTCTTGTATCTAGCCAATTCTCCAGCCCTGGCTACTTTCATAGCCAGTGTATCTTCAGTGTCTTGTATCTAGCCAATTCTCCAGCCCTGGCTACTTTCATAGCCAGTGTATCTTCAGTGTCTTGTATCTAGCCAATTCTCCAGCCCTGGCTACTTTCATAGCCAGTGTATCTTCAGTGTCTTGTATCTAGCCAATTCTCCAGCCCTGGCTACTCTCATAGCCAGTGTATCTTCAGTGTCTTGTATCTAGCCAATTTTCCAGCCCTGGCTTTTCTCATAGCCAGTGTATCTTCAGTGTCTTGTATCTAGCCAATTCTCCAGCCCTGTCTACTCTCATAGCCAGTGTATCTTCAGTGTCTTGTATCTAGCCAATTCTCCAGCCCTGGCTACTCTCATAGCCAGTGTATCTTCAGTGTCTTGTATCTAGCCAATTCTCCAGCCCTGGGTGCTCTCATAGCCAGTGTATCTTTAGTGTCTTGTATCTAGCCAATTCTCCAGCCCTGGGTGCTTTCATAGCCAGTGTATCTTCAGTGTCTTGTATCTAGCCAATTCTCCAGCCCTGGGTGCTTTCATAGCCAGTGTATCTTCAGTGTCTTGTATCTAGCCAATTCTCCAGCCCTGGGTGCTTTCATAGCCAGTGTATCTTCAGTGTCTTGTATCTAGCCAATTCTCCAGCCCTGGGTGCTTTCATAGCCAGTGTATCTTCAGTGTCTTGTATCTAGCTAATTCTCCAGCTCTGGCTACTTTCATAGCCAGTGTATCTTCAGTGTCTTGTATCTAGCCAATTCTCCAGCCCTGGGTGCTTTCATAGCCAGTGTATCTTCAGTGTCTTGTATCTAGCCAATTCTCCAGCCCTGGGTGCTTTCATAGCCAGTGTATCTTCAGTGTCTTGTATCTAGCCAATTCTCCATCCCTGGGTGCTTTCATAGCCAGTGTATCTTCAGTGTCTTGTATCTAGCCAATTCTCCAGCCCTGGGTGCTTTCATAGCCAGTGTATCTTCAGTGTCTTGTATCTAGCTAATTCTCCAGCTCTGGCTACTTTCATAGCCAGTGTATCTTCAGTGTCTTGTATCTAGCCAATTCTCCAGCCCTGGCTACTTTCATAGCCAGTGTATCTTCAGTGTCTTGTATCTAGCCAATTCTCCAGCCCTGGCTACTTTCATAGCCAGTGTATCTTCAGTGTCTTGTATCTAGCCAATTCTCCAGCCCTGGCTACTTTCATAGCCAGTGTATCTTCAGTGTCTTGTATCTAGCCAATTCTCCAGCCCTGGCTACTTTCATAGCCAGTGTATCTTCAGTGTCTTGTATCTAGCCAATTCTCCAGCCCTGGCTACTCTCATAGCCAGTGTATCTTCAGTGTCTTGTATCTAGCCAATTCTCCAGCCCTGGCTACTCTCATAGCCAGTGTATCTTCAGTGTCTTGTATCTAGCCAATTCTCCAGCCCTGGCTACTTTCATAGCCAGTGTATCTTCAGTGTCTTGTATCTAGCCAATTCTCCAGCCCTGGCTACTTTCATAGCCAGTGTATCTTCAGTGTCTTGTATCTAGCCAATTCTCCAGCCCTGGCTACTTTCATAGCCAGTGTATCTTCAGTGTCTTGTATCTAGCCAATTCTCCAGCCCTGGCTACTTTCATAGCCAGTGTATCTTCAGTGTCTTGTATCTAGCCAATTCTCCAGCCCTGGCTACTTTCATAGCCAGTGTATCTTCAGTGTCTTGTATCTAGCCAATTCTCCAGCCCTGGCTACTTTCATAGCCAGTGTATCTTCAGTGTCTTGTATCTAGCCAATTCTCCAGCCCTGGCTACTTTCATAGCCAGTGTATCTTCAGTGTCTTGTATCTAGCCAATTCTCCAGCCCTGGCTACTTTCATAGCCAGTGTATCTTCAGTGTCTTGTATCTAGCCAATTCTCCAGCCCTGGCTACTTTCATAGCCAGTGTATCTTCAGTGTCTTGTATCTAGCCAATTCTCCAGCCCTGGCTACTTTCATAGCCAGTGTATCTTCAGTGTCTTGTATCTAGCCAATTCTCCAGCCCTGGCTACTCTCATAGCCAGTGTATCTTCAGTGTCTTGTATCAACCTTTGTGGAGACTGACCTCTGCCTTGTTTTCCAGAAACTGTCCACTCCATCACGTTTCTCTTCAGGCCACCGAGACATGACCAATTCACCTCTGCTTTCAGGACAGGATGTTAATTGTGTTTTAATTCTCCTCAATGTTTAGATGATGTAGCCTGTTTATGTTTTCTGTTTTCTAGGTCAAAGGTATTCTGCACATTTTACTGTAGCATTGTCTGGCCTATAATACTTCTTCCCAGGCTCCTTGCTCTGCTTCTTGGTCTACTCCCGTTTGACTCTTTTGTGTACACAGTTTTTGTCTCTCATCTGCCACTCTTTTTATAGGTCCAATCATCTAAGTCTAATTGCCTCTTTATTTCAGTAATCAGTTGTGATTTGAACATATAATAAATTCTACTGTTGCTTCTCCTTCACCAAATTTCCCTATTTAAATCTCTGATGGGTTGTTTATCCTTTTCTATGCATGATGTAATTATCTTCAAATGTTTTCTTGTAAATAAAAATCTTCAAAGGCTTTCCTGCATTGAATAAGTGCCTATTTACAATGTTATCTTTCATCAAGTAATTGTCTCTTTGCAGTGTTATCTTGCATCAAGTAATTGTCTATTTAAAATGTTATCTGAAATCAAATAATTGTCTAGTTACAATATTTTCTGGCATCAAATAATTATCTAGTTACAATATTTTCTGGCATCAAATAATTATCTAGTTACAATATTTTCTGGCATCAAATAATAGTCTACTTACAATATTTTCCCAGACAAACATGACAACTATGGCTGCAATGTAGAGAATCATGAACACTGAGATCTTCAAGATGGCGCTACGGGTCAGGTTGTAACGAACAACTGTGTAACCTTTAGCCACCAGAATCAACAACAGAATCAGCACCATGTTGCTGCACATCTGCAGGATTCTGCCTGAGAAATAAGTCAAGGAACAAGGTTACCTTCGACATGGCAACACTGGTGTGTGTGTGTGTGTGTGCAGGTGTGAGAGAAATAATTCAAGGATATCCCCGAATTTCTGCATCAGAAGTGAACAGTCCCAGTTTTAGGAGAGAACTTGGAGTACACGAGGACAGCAGGAAAGTTAGAGGGGAAGCGAAACAGAGGGAAACCAAGTGAGAGAATATGTTGGACACTTTGGCAACTTAGCATGGAAGAATATCTGAATGAGAAATGATTACACGAGACAGAAGGGTGAGGAAACTACAAACACCACATGGAATAAACTATGACAAGAGTCTCTTGTCTGGATATGTATTGGTAGGTGTGTAGGATAGTGTGGTATAGTGAACACAGCATGAGAAGAAGTCTAAAGTCTACAGAGAATTGCTAAACAGAGGAAACACAAGACGAACGAGGGGACGCGTCCGGGGGGAGTCTAGACGATGCGTACGGGACGACGGGCGGGGGGGTGGGGTTTGGGGGACGAGGGGACGCGACGGACGGACGGGGGGGAGGGACGAGGCGGATGAGGACGTGGTAGAGACGTACGGAGACGGCGGTTACGGTTTTTCGGGACGGGGGGGGGGGACGGGCGGAGACGTACGGCGTAAGCGGCGTTACGGGCGGGGACGGACGATGGGGTGCGACGGGAACGGCGTGGGACGGGGGCAACGCGCACAAGGGGGGCGGGGCTGGGGACGGGGAGGGGAACGAACGGGTTACGGGGGGGGTGGTCAAACGCGACGACGGGGGGGACGGGGACGGCGAAGTGACGAGACCGTGCGGGGGGGAGGGGAACGGACGTCGGCCGGGGACGACGCGGGGGGACGAAACGAGGCGGTGGGGATCGAAACGACGGGTCGACGTTACGCGACGGAACAGGACGACGTTACTCGGCGGGACGGGAGGTTAGCGGCGGAGGGTTGAACGGCGCGGGGGGGGGGGGGAGGGGGGAGGCGTGGGGGACGGTTGCACGGGGGGGTGGGGCGAGGGGATGGGGAGGGGACCGGACGGAGAAAGAAAACGGGGACGAGTACGAGGTGACGGGTGGTGGGGTGGGTGGGGGGTGTACGACGGAGGCGAAACGGCACGACCGGGGAGATGGATGGGCGAGGAAGGGGGGGGGGCGGTACTCGGGGAAGCGGGGACGACGGGACGAGCCGGGTACGGACGGACGGTGACGTGGCGAGGGGGGACGGTGGACGGGGCGGGCTGGGGAAGGAGGGGTCGGACGGACGGACGGAGAAACACGGCGGAAGCGGGATCGGGACGGGGGTGAATTAACGGGGCGGAGCTGCGGGGGGGAACGACAAGGGCGACGGAGTTACGAGAGGGGGACGATGGTCAACGAGAGGTAAGGGAACGACGGAGGTAGGCCGGCAGACGCGATACGGCGGGACGGGGGTGGGACGCGGACACGGTACGGCACGAAACGTTGAGACGACGGGTGGGACGACGACGAGGTAGGGAAACCGAACGGGCGGTTACGGTTTAAAGCCGGCGGGAGGACGGGCGTAGATACGCAGCGGGGGGGCGGGGGGGGTTTACGATACGGGGTTCGGTACGAACGGGGCGACGGCCGGGCTGGCGGCGGACGGGCGCGGGAACGGAAAACCGGGGACGTGGTTACGTACGATGTTGGGACCGGGGGAGTAGGACGACTGTGCACGGGCGGGTACGGGGGCGCCGGACGGTGCGAACGACGACGACGGAAACGGACGACGGAGAGAACGGACGAACGGATGACGGGGGGAGGAGCATTTACGTTACGGGGGGTAGCAGAATAGGGTTTTGGGGGGAGTCGGGAGGGGAGGGGGACCGACGGGGGTTACACGGGGGACGTTACGGGTACTAGATGGGGGGATGTTTAAAAACGGGATATAGGTAACGCGATTTACGGAACGGAGCGACGGACACGGAGGAGGGACGGAGAACGGACGCGGGAAGACAAGCGGTGGGGAGGTTGGCGACGTGGTTCGAGGGACGGATGTACGGACGGGAGAACGGAACGAACGGGCGGGGTGAACGCACGACCGGGTTACGTAACACGAACGGGGAGCGGGGGTACGACGGGGGGGACTTGGAAATACGGAGGGCGGGACGTGGAAAATCGGGGGACGAGTACGGGGACGGGGGGACGATGGACGGCGTCGACACGGGAGCGGGACGACGGGGGGGTGTTACGGGTTACGGGCGGACGGGAGGGGGATCGGGGGTACGGGGGGGGACGGTGGGACGGAGGAGGGGAAAAGGGGTGGGACTCGGCTTACGGGGAGGGAACGGGGTGGGACCGGTTACGACGGCGGGGACGGGGTAACGGTTACGGGACGAACGTGGACGGCGGCGGGACGGGGCGGACCGATAACGGTAGCGGACGGTACGGACGACGTACGGGGAACGAGGGCCGTTAAGCACGGGACGATTACGTGACGACGCGCGACGACGGGGGGGCGCGGCGATACGGGACGCGTACGAACGGCGAACGCGTTATTATTACGACTACGTACGGGTGGGCTATTACGGACGTTACGGTACGACGCCGGACGAACACGGGACTGCGGATTTACGCGGCGCGGACGACGGACGGGGACGGACTGGTACGACGGACGCGGAAACGAACGGACGGCGGGCGAGAACGAGAGGACGCTACGGACGGACGACGGGGGACGGTACGGACTGTAGATCGTACCGACGCGCGTCATAACGGAGGGCGGTTACGTGGAACGGGGGTAACGGCTAAACGTACGACGGCTGACGTGGGCGGGGACGACGACGGAACGACGTACGACGTACGATTACGGGGTTACTGAACGATACGTACCGCGACTAGTATTACGGTACGCGGAACGCGAGGTACGCGCGACGCGGACGACGGACGGACGAGGAGATTACGGACGGGACGGGAACACTGGAACGGACGACGCCGGGCGGAGACGGGACGTAGAACGGGACGATTACGTACGGTACGACGACGACGAACGGTGTACGGATCGACGTAACGACGGGACGACGACGAAACGGACGAGTGGACCGGACGCAACGGGGAGCGAGGGGAGCGAACGTGGGTCGGGCGGGACGCGACGAGGGGGTACGAACGGTACGGAGGGGGGCCCCGCGGGGAGAACGCGGGACGGGGACGGGCCGAGGCTAAGACGGCCGAACGTATTCGAGACGGGAAAGGCCGACGGGGGACGACGAAGCCTACCGAGGGCGTTGCGGGTGGTGACGAAGGATGACGCGACGTCGGAGGAGAGAGGGGGTGGGAAGGGGCGACGTCGTTTACGGGGTGGGGAAAGTGAACGACGAAGGCGGAGACGGGAACGGGCGGGGGGAGAGGGAGGGCGGGCAAGGACGGGGGGACGACGGCGGAGGTACGGGGCGCGGATGGGGACGGGGGGAGGTGGAACGCTACGACGTGGGGTGGAGGACGAGACGGGGGGGATACGGGTTTATCGCGAGACGTGACGGGGTGCGGGAGGGAACGTGGGGGAGCGACGGAGACGAGTGTACGACGTGCGGGGGGTTAAGGGGGGGCGGGACGGAGGAGGGAACGGTACGGGACGACGGGGGGCGACGGACGGTGGACGCGGCGTACGAGTGGGGGAGGACGCGGTGGGGGGGTACGGCGGGACGCGTACTGGGGTACGTGCGGTTACGGAACGGTAAACGGTGGGGCAACGGACGGCGGGAGGTTTACGCACGGGGGAGGCGACGAGGAGGGACGGGGCGGGGACGGGCGGGGGGGGGGCGGGGTGAGCGCGTGGAACGGTGGTGTTAGGAACGAGCGGTCGGGGCGACGGAACGGGGACGAGTACGGGGGGTCATGCTTAAACGACGAGAAGGTCACGAGACGTGAGGGGACGGGGCGGGACGTGGCCGACGGGGACGGGAGGGGGGGCGGCAACGACGGGGAGGGGGAGCACGCGGACGAACGGGGGTGGACGGTGACGGACGGGGAGCGACGGCGGAGGACGGTGTGGCGGGGGTGGTACGACGGGGTCGGAGGCGGGAACGGTGACGGCATGACGGTAACTAGGAGTGGGGGGCACCGGGTGAGAGCGGGGCGTGTAGTACGAGGGAGCGCGGCACGAAACCGGGGGGGGGGGTTGACGGCGACGTTACGACGGACGGAGACGGAGGATAACGTGGAGCGACGTTCGTGGGGGGAGCGGATAACGTTACGGGACGGAAAGGAGTACGCGGACGGGGCGGGGTTGGAATGACGAGCAGTGGGATGTAAGGGGGGACGGGGGATCGTTGACGCTGTACGCGGGACTTACGACGATTAACGTGTAGGCCGAGGGACGACGTGGTGGGTGGAGGGATTAACGTGTGACGACGGTTGCGTACGGCTGAGTTTTTACGTGGTTGGGGACGACGGAACGTTTTGGGAACGTGAGGCGTTAGACGCGGCGGGTGAGGTACGCGAACGGACGCTGTTCCACGACACGTGACGACGGGACGGCACGACGTTACGTGGAGTGTACGGGGACATCGTGGGGGTGGAGGTAGGAGGACGACGAGCGATACGGTACGGTAAAGGGGGAGAGGTCTGGAGGGGGTCAGCGGGGTACGGAACGGACGGGCGAGCGATCTTTTCGTGTTAGGTCGGGACTGGGGGACGGTTTGTTCGGGGAGACGTGGACGAGGTGAACGGAAACGGTGGGAAGCGGGGACGACTGAGGGACGGGTGGGCTGGACACGCGTGGGGACGAGTTACGGACGGGTTTACGAGTAGGACGAGAGGACGGGACGTGAGGTAGATTGGGGGTATGTAGTGTTACGTGGACGACGGGGGGGACGTACTGTGACGGGGGGACGCGCGTGGGGGCCGGGAACGCAGTGTTGTACTGGGAACGTAGTGGCGGGACGACGACGGGGGGACTCTCGACGTGGTTGACGTCGGCGGCGGACGGGAACGCGAGTATACTGGGGGGGCGTACG